AAATTTAAAATTCTAAGTAATTCAAATGATTCAATTGAAATCCATTCATTTCTAAATTCTTATGTTAGAATGAAGTATTAAGATAAATAATTATTCAATTAGGGCCAAATTTTAAAATTTTAAAAAGGGACTAATTTACAATTTTTAAAATGACTAAATACCATTTTCGGTCCCTTAACTATACCCTTAGGTTCAGATTGCTCCCTTAATTATTTTTTGTGTTAGATTGGTCCCTTGACTCTTTAAAACGTATCATATTGGTCCTTTTCGTCTAATTAGCGATGAAAAAAATTTAAAAATCCGTCGCTTATTAGACAAAAGGACCAATATGACACGTTTTAAATAGTTAAGAGACCAATTTGACACAAAAAATAATTAAGGGACCAATCTGAATCTAAGGATAAAGTTAAAGGATCAAAAATGGTATTTTTCCTTTTAAAATCTAAAGGGACAAATTTGTAAAATTTTGAAAATTATTAAGGACTTACTTGCATTTTGTTTGAAAATTTTGAGAGTCAATTTTAAAATTTTGGAAATATGCGGACCAACTTGCAAATTTTGAAATAATAACATTAACCAACTTGACATTCAAATTCTAAGGACTATGAGATGAATTTGAAATTATTTGATTTTAGGTTTCATTTCAAAATCATAAAATTTAATTTGAATAAAATAATTCATAAATTTTCATCATTTTAACAATTCTTCATATTTACTATCCAAACAATAAATTTTATCCAAATCATTTTAAATTCTCTTAAACATTACATTCCCTCGTTAAAATGACTCATTGAAACACACTCTCAAAATTTCCAAAAATTATGAATTAATTAATTTTAGAGAGAAAATTGTTGCTTTTATATGTGATAGAGATATACCACTAAAATTGAATAAAATGATATTTTGATTCAAGTCAAGAGCAAAAAGAATGATTTGATCAAGCAAAAAAATGATTTGAATCAAGATGATAAAAGTCAAGTTTTTCCATATTTGGTTCGAGTCAGGAAAAAACTTGAATCGAGTCATGTTTCCCAAGTTGAATCCTAAAATGAGAGAACTAGTCATGATTTGAGTCAAGCAAAATTGTGACTTGAGTTAAGGTACCTCGTGATTCGAGTCATGTGCGGGTTAGAATCGAATCACACTTTGAGCGTTAAATTCAAAATTTGAAATTTGTTTATGATTTGAGTCAAGGATGCTTGTGACCCAAATCACATTTCTCGAATTAAAATCATGGGAAAAAAGAAACTTCATGATTAAAGTCAGGCAAACTTTTAACTTGAATCATGTTTGCAAAATGTTCATGATTCAAATGTCTGACTTTATGACTTGAATCACTTTTCATCGTCTTTTGGTCAAAGACTTGATTTATGCATGCAAAAGAGATTTTAATACAAAATTACCAATTCGAAGAGATATGTAATAACCTAAAGGTGAGTGATTTAATTACTATAAAAGATCATTCATTAGACAAGGGACAAAACCCTAAAATTCTCAGGAATACGTCATATGCAATTTCAATTTCAATCTCCCCTTATTTATGTTTGACAGCTTCCATTATACAACTTTCATTTCGCCAACCTTTTACCATAAATCTTTCGCATTTCTTCTGCTGATTGTCAACTAACAACATGATTAAACACTACTGTAAACAAAATTAACACTAATTGAAGAAAATTATAGAACTTCCATCTTACCAAACCAATTGTCTATCTTCTAGAGGTTTACATAAGAAATATAAAAGAAGAAGAGGAAAACAAGTTGACTTGCATCACATATTCAGTTTCACCCAAAACACACACATTTGCATATATTTCTTCCCTACTCTATTCAATTTTCTTAGTGCAATTCTATTCTCTTTGAGGTTCACTGATTTCCCCACAATGCTCAGCCTCAAAAACCCTAATGAACGCCGGTATGGGGAGTATGAACACACTCATGGCAGTTCTACAGTAAATGACGATAGGTGTAAGTGGCGCAAGCCGCAGAGGCCGTAGGCCCGCGATAGAAAAAGAGGAGGCGATGTATTTTACGTGACTTTTGGTTTTGACTTACTTATATTAATATGATTTTTTATTTAAAATAAATAAATGAAGGTTAAAACATATGCCCGAGTCTTGTGTACTCAATTGATCCGATTGACAATATTAACTCATAGACGCGTGTCTTTCTTGCCCTAGACGAATCCTTTTAAATATCAAATTGATAGTAAGTAAGAGTCAAAATATATTCAAAACTATTGATAATAAATGATAAAATATAATAATCAACTTGATAATTTAAAGCATCCGAAACATTTTTATAATATTTATAATTTTTTTTCGAAATCTTGGTATCCGGACTTGCAACCGACTAATCCAAGAAAATCAATTCCACCGTTCACTAGTGGAGACCGATTTAAAGTCAGAGCATATTTTTGTATGGATTGGATCAATACAAGAATAATTAGTACCTAACATGATTTCAACTTGATACCTTGAGAGGAACACCCTCTTAGGATCCAAATCTTCACAATTAGACCAATTCTTGGGGGGGTAATATTTATAATTTTATTGATATATGTAAGAGTGTCCTATAAAACATGTGACTAGGGCCAGGGTTGTTCATGATATAGTTCAGTTAAAAAACCAAACCGTGCTGAATCAAACTGTTGTAAAAATTGATTCGATCTGAATCAAATCATTTCAATTTAATTAGAACCGAAGTGAACCAAAATCATTGGTTTAATATACCGTTTCAAAATTCTGAATCATACCGAACCGTTAAAAGTTATTTTTTTCAAACCGAACCATTTATCAAAGAACCAAACTATTTAAAAAAAAAAGAAGTTAAAACTTGTTTTTAATATTTTTTATTTTCAATTTTGATTTGATTTGATTACATGTTCAAATCGATTGTAAAATTGTTTGTGAAATATGGTTTGGGTCACTAACCAATCATAATAGCCACTTTAAAAAAGGGAATTTTTTTATCCCATCCTATAGGGTGGAAAAATACCATATTAAAAACGCAAAATACCCCTCAGATTCCAGAGATGCATATCCGGATGCATCTTTTCTAAAATCTAAACGTTAACTGATCTGAAGATGCATCTCCATAATATTTTAGAATATACACCATGCATCCCACCCTGAAGACATTTTATACATTTCTTGTTCCAGAGATGCATCTCCGTTTAAGATTTACGGGGATACATATTTGTACCCAATCAAAACAGTGCAGGTTATATTCTGTTTATGTTTATTCAGATGAAGATGATTATTTATAAACGTTATGTACCCTGTTATGTGATGAGATTTAAATCTTACAATCGATATGCAAAAAATGACATATATAAATTCAAATGGTCCAAAAATGACATATAAAAATAAAGTTGAAATACACGATAAAGTAGCATGAATTGAAAATAAAATACAATCCATAATGAATTTAAATTACAACTATTATAAACTACTGCACTACTGCGTATGCCAGACTACTGCTCCTCGGCTCGTTGGGCTCATTGGCCCCCACTACCTCCGTCTTTCGGAGCTATCTCTGGTACATCAATGTCTCTCGTGCCTCTGTCATGATGGCATCTAGGACCTGCCTTACATCAGACCCATCGGGGAAGATACTTTTATCAATGTCTGCCTACGCAATCTCCATTATGCGACGACATTTAGGCGAGTCATAATGAGCATGACCAAACTATGCATGCTCATCCTTTAGTATCTCCTAATGAGTTGGCCTCCGTGAATCTCTTGGAGCAACCTGCACCATATACAGATATGACACCCTGAAGAATCGCCTAATGTACCCGTCAATGTAGCCCTAGTCGCTCTCAGCTATGGTACTCTGTGTCTCCTCTAGTTTCATATGACTCTCATAATCATCAAACATGGCATCCATCTCTCTATGTGTCAAAGTAGGAAGAGCAGAGACAACAAGATGTCTGAGAATGGTTTGAGTGTAGCCGAACTGCAGCATCACACGCTCGGGCAGACGAGGAGTAGTGAGACGTGATCCACAAGCTAATTATCCCGAGTATAGCACTATGTCGTCAAATGATCGCGTCTCATAGTAATTTTCAGTGGCGGCAATACTGACATGCAAACTCCAAAAATAATGGTTTGATTGTGATTTTCAACCAACAAACATGTTTTACAGTATGTATAAACTACCATTCTTGCAATTCCTACTCATTTTTTCTCTAAATCGTCACTTTTTACTCATTTACACAAAAATTCAACAAACTTATCAAAATATTAAAAACTTATAAATTTAAACTTTACTTCAGTGTTGAATGATGTCTTGATGTCCTTGATGTTGATGATTGAAGATCATTTGAGCTTGGTTGATGGAAAAATATTTGAGAGTTTAAAAAAGTTTTAAATTTATTTTAAAAATAAGGAAGAAGAAAAGTTCTGATGATTTAATCTTCAATATCTTCCAAAAAAAAAATACATATCAAAATAAGTTATTTTAATATTTTCCGAGAGTGCTTAACTAATATTAAAAAATTCCCTTAAAAAACAAAGAGACACATAATAGCCAATTAGAGTTAGACCATTTACAATGGTTTACAAACTCAACACCCATTTTTTCAACTCCCAACACTCCACATCATTTTCTCTTTCTTCCACCTAATAACTCAACACCCATTCAACTTTTACCCTCTCCAATGGTTTTTCACTCAACACCCTACCCCACCACTTTTTATTTTCATATTCTTATTTAAATTTTATTTTTATTTTTATGATTACATAAAATTACAATTATCGATTAAAATTAAATTAAAATAATAAATACTTAATAATTTATTTTTTAATTTTTTGTAATAAAAACAAAATTTATTTAAATAATTGGATACGATACAAATCATCTTAAATTAATTTAAAATACAACACACAATTAACGTAATTAGTACGTTACAAATAATTTAAAATGCAATACAACACACAAGTAACGTAATTAGTACGATACAAATAATTTAAAATGCAATACAACACACAAATAATTCAATCACGGAACATTCCAAACTTTGTCCATATGTGCTTCACTAGATCGGCTTGCAATTCTTGATGAACATTTGGATCACGGAACTCTGATCTAGCACGCACATGATTTGCAAAAGCGGGTAACACCTCGGTCGAGTATGGTTGTGGTGCACTAGATCCACTTTCCCCAGATTGCTCAAAATCGGTCCAACGTTGAGAATATGAATCTCGTTCATCCTCAACAATCATATTATGTAATATGATGCATGACCTCATGATGATACCCAAATCGGCTATGTCCCACAAGCGAGCTGGTTCACGGATGATTTTAAATCGAGCTTGGAGCACTCCAAATGCACGTTCGATGTCCTTCCGACATCCCTCCTGAAATTTTGCAAATAATTTATCGGGTTCACTTTGAGGAAGTCTAATCGATTTGACGAAAGTTGGATAAGAAGGGTAGATACCATCAGCTAGATAGTATGCCATATTATATGGACGTTGATTCACAAAGAAATTCACACTTGGAGCCTTTCCCTGTTCCACGTCATCAAACACTGGTGACCGGTCTAGAACGTTTATATCGTTCAACGTTCCCGGACATCCAAAAGAGGCATGCCAGATCCATAGGTCATGAGATGCAACTGCTTCAAGAATAACTGTGGTGGTTCCCTTATCCCCTCTAGTAAATTGTCCTTCCCATGCTTTAGGACAATTTTTCCACTCCCAGTGCATGCAGTCAATACTCCCAATCATCCCTGGGAACCCCCGCATTTCACTAACATGCAGTATTCTTTGCAGGTCATCTTGGGTTGGTGCTCTCAGATACACTTGCTCGTACAAGCGTATGATTCCTTTACAGAATCTACGTAAGCACTCCAATGCTGTAGTACCTCCTATTTTGATGTACTCGTCGACCGCATCTGCTGCCACACCATATGCTAACATTCGCATTGTTGTGGTACATTTTGCTAAGGGTGATATACCTTCTTTATTGGCTGCATCAACTCGCTGGGTGAAGTAGTTATCACTACTTGAAAGGTCCCCAACGATTCGAAGGAAAACATTTTTTTTCATCCGGTACCGACGACGAAACATTGCATCGTCATATGTAGGCTCATTGGCAAAGTAGTCGTTAATTAGTCTTTGGTTTGCCGCTGCATGATCTCTATTGAGATATTTTCTACTACGAGGTGCATTATCTTCCGATATTTTGTTTCTACGCTCTCTAAATCGATTGACTATATAATTTTCTTCAATTTCACGATTTTGATTGTAGGATGCGATATCAAAATGATATTGTGATGGATCCATTTTTTTGTGATATTGGAGGTAGATTGGATGGGATTTGGGATATTGGTACATAAATGGATGTATGAGTCCCTATATATAAATGGATGTGGGTGGTGGATGTTGCACCCTAAAATTTGACCAACCGATTCTCCTATCTGACTCATGGTTTAAATTCATATTCACAGCTCAGACAGATGATTTTTGTGCACAAGCAGGGGATATCAGAGTTTACAGCTTGATTTTTGTCTATCAGATATGGCAGACCCAGTCCAGATTGCCAGGGTTTTATCTTCAGGAAATTGTGCGCTCCTCGGTGATTTTTTAGTGATTTTGGGGATATTCTGATGCCCGGGGATTTCCGTGCGATTCGATCTGGTCTCGTGCGCTCTTTTATGGGGGTCATTTGCATTCATCTGCATTTTTTAGGATTTTAATAGGCTTTTGTGAATTTTTAGCAGGCTTTATAGAATTTTTCTGGAATTTAAATAGGGCTTTTGAATATTTTAATAGCTTAATTTTCTTTTTAGAATTTTATAGGATATTTTAAATAGACTTTAATCATTTGTAGAATTTTAATAGAATTTAAATAGCTTTTATCATTTTTAGGATATTAGTGAATTTTCTCTTAGCATATTAAATAGAGTGACAAATTAGGGTTAATAGGAATTAATTGTTTTTTAAATAATATAGTTTTTCTTTTTTAATAATAGATTTTTAGTAGATATTAAATAATATTAGAAGTTTAATAGAGTTAGTAGAGATATAGAATTAATTAGACTTTAATCATTTTTTAGAGTTTAATTAGGATTAATTGGATTTTTAGAGTTAATTAGAGGTTAATTGATTTTTTAGATTTAATTAGTATAATATAGAATTAGTTAGACTTTTAATCTTTTTAGAGTTTTAATTAGGTTAATCATGTTTTAGATTTAATTAGATTGATTTAGAATTAATTAGGCTTTTAATAATTGATTAGATATAATTAGGTTAGTTAATTGTTTTTTTCAGTTTTTCTTTACAGTTTTGTTTTCGAATGGGCCCAGTGGGGTGTTTTTTGGTAAAGCCCAATTGGCTCATCAGCAGAAAAAAGTCCAAACAGTCCAAAGTCCAGCGCACACCAGAATGTTCTAGAGAATTCCAGCGAACTCCAAGGGTATAAAAGTGACGCGTGTCACACATGCAGAGGCCCCACCCGTTTTTCTCAGAATCCTCCACGCGTTTGCCACCAATCCACCCACTTCAGACTCTCTCTCATCCTGCCACACAGCCCCCACACGTGGCATCACCTCAACCCACACCCAGCCACGCGTCCCGCATGCACTTCTCACCGGGAAAGTCCCCGCCGGCCATGCAAGCCCGGTGACAACCTACTCCGACCACCCTCCTCCACCGCAACGGTCACCTGAAGCCGGTAATCTCACCGGAATCTGCGAATTTCCCTAGCAATCCCAGTTTCATCCAATCTTCTCCGTCAGCCATTCATCAACCTCCTCACCGGAAAACGCACAGACCGCCGGAACCTTCATCGGTGTTGAAGTTTTTCCAGAACGACGCTACTCATCATTTATTCTTCAGATTTACAAGAACTTCATCCATCAACGCTCAAGCTTGCCAAGAACTCCACCTCCGTTCTCCAGATTCGTACGATCTTCATCCACCTTCAAGTATCTTCAAGATTCCCAGAAAGAACTCCAGGACCTTCATACACCTTCTTCAAAGAAATCGAGGTCAAGACCTTCATCGTTGCTTCTGTCAGAAATTACTGAGGTGCTCTCCATTTCTCCGTTCAAGATCATCATCGAGCGTGATCCCAGGCTTCGTGTTGATCTTCTCCGTCCAAGATCTTCATCTTGCATGTTCGTCCAGAGTACTGTGTTCGCCCAGATCTCCAAGATCTTCAAGTTTTTCAGTGATCCTTGAGAGCCTTCATCAAGACTCCTTGCGTAACGTCTTGAGATTATCCAGTCTTCTTCAGCAAAGGAACTCCACGAGCTGTTCGTATTCCATATCCAGGTACGTGTTCATGCGATTCTGGTTGCGTTTTTCCTTCTGATTGCTGAGATTTTCTGATTTCGTTTTGATTCAAATAGAGTCTAGATTAGGGTTGAATGGATTTGAGTTTGGGAATGGTGGTTTGTTTGAGATTTGTGAGAGTTTGAGAGTTTCAGAAGAGGGTTTGAGAGAGAATCTCAGAGCGGCGTTAGGGTGAGAGGTGAGGATGAACAGTGCTAGGGTTAGGGGAGGAGAGCTGAGTTTTGATGTATATTGGGTTAGGGTTTGGACGTTGGGCTTAGGCCCAAACGTGTCTCTGAACGCGCTACACCCCCTCAATTGCTAGTTCCCCCCCCCTGTTTGAGAGACCTGAGAATAATTGGGGTGGGCCTTAGGCCCAATTGCTGTTAACACCCCTCTTTTGAGCCCAGTAATGATAATCAACTAGGAATTACTAAGTCAGCACCCCCCTGCGCCCAGCTCAGCTTTTTTTTGTTTTTTTCTGGATAATCAATCTGGGCCCTGCGCCCCATTTGCTAGTGGCACCCCCAGAATCAGGGCCCAGCTGAATAATAACCCATAAACTCTTGCTGTTTGCACCCTCCATGTTATTTTCTTTTATTTTGATTTTTTCTTTTATATTTCCACATTAAATGAATCATAATAAAATGTAAATAAATGTTTTTTTCAATAATTCTTTTTCAACCCTTTCATGAAAAATGTTAAGAAAATTAAATAAAAATAAAAAAGGACATTTTATTTTTATTTTCTATTTTAGTGCATATTTTCCATTTAATTGATTTTTTAATATTTTCAATGCATGCATATCATTAGAAAATTCATAAAAAATGGTAGAATTAGTCAAATAATTCCGTTCTTTTTTCTATAGACTCGTGATTCAGTGTAGAATTTTATAGCATAAAAACATTAGCTTAATCATGCATTTTCATTTTAATTGCATTTTTTCATTGTTATTGATGTTGGATAAATTGGTCTGTGGATATGTCTGTGTTGCTGATTTTATTTCTTTCATCTGGTGTTGAACTTTGTTCTGATTTTTCAGTATGTTGTCCTAGAGCCATGTAGGTCTCCCCTAGATTTTTATTAGATTTTTGTAGGGTGTCCTGATGTGATTTGTCTGAGCCTGAAAATAGGAGAAGCTTTGATGACTTCTGACTTTGAAGTTCAACTGTGGTTGAACTTCAGAGATAGTCTCCTGTGGCTTGTTGGCCTGTGGGTTCTTCCTGAAGTTGGGAGCTGATGGAGGTCCTGTTGGAGCTTGCAAGGATGCAGTAGTTTGAGGCTTAGTCTAGGAGCTTGTTGTCTGTTTGTGAGGTTCGAGATCCTGAAGTTTGAAAGGAGCTTGTGGTACTTTCCTGAGGAAGGCACTATGAATGACTTTCATCCTTCCTTCTCACCTCTTTCGTAAGTATCCAATGATGTCGGAGCCGACATGTGAGTTTAATTTCTCCTGAGGAGGAATATAAACTGATCACATATTGTTGAGCCACATGGGATACGATTCCTAAGTGGAAGCCTCCTAGCACTTTCCTGAGGAAGGTCCTATGGGTCTATTCACTTAGTTCCAGTAGTTTGTCTAGGATTTCGTAAGTATCCAGTGATGTAGGAGCCGACTTGTGAGTTTAATTTCTCCTGAGGAGGAATGTAAACTAATCACAGTTGTTGAGCCACGTAGGATATGATTCCTAAGTGTTAGCCTCCTAGTACTTTCCTGAGGAAAGTCCTATGAGTCTGCTCACTTAGTTCCCTTAGTGCATATAGGTTCTTTCCCAAATATCCAGTGACGCCGGAGCCTTCATGTGAGTTTAATCTCTCCTGAGGAGGGATGTAAACTGATCACAGTTGTCGAGCCGCATAGGATATGACTCCTGAGTAGTAATCTCCTGGTACTTTCCTGAGGAAAGCACTATGAGCTTGTCTGCTTAGCTTCCTTTCTCTGGTAAGCTTGTTCTGAAGCTTGGAGAATGGGATTGATTCCTCTTGCCTAGGAGTTTGTTTAGATCCTTGCTTAGGGTTTTGATTAGGTGTTTGCTTAGATCCTTGCTTAGGGTGCTGTATAGAGTTTTGTTTAGAGATAGATTAGGAGATTGTTTCAGGTTTGTTTGAGGCCCTGGTCAGGGTTAGTCTCTTTGTGTTGTTTGACTTGTGTGATGTTATGTTGCATTAGACTTAGGTGTTCATCCAGATAGTTCTGAATAGGTGCATCTTAGAAGTAGACTTTGTGTGCATAAGAAGTTGAGGTGGTCCTCCTTCTGCTTGTTTGTTATTGCGTGGCTTTGCTTGTTGGTATTTGGTAGAGCTGAGCTCCCTTGCCTTTGTGGTTTGTGGCCTCTGTGCCTTGTTCGTCTAGTTGTTGCATTCATGCATATTTTTCAGTATTCATTTACGTTGCAGTTTCTTGTTTGTGGTTTAGTCCTGTTGCCATGATCCCTTAGGAGCTCTGACTTCCCCGCTGCGGAGTTGTTATGATAGACATTAGGATGGTCAACCAGGTGTGGTAGCAGTAGGTAGATTCCCCTGTTTCTCAGCTATAGTTTTTAGGGTTTCCCTTTCCTTTCTGTAGGAGCTTTTGAGTAGCTTGATCCGTAGTTAGCTGAACTACAGCTGCTCTGATTCTTCGTTCCAGACGAAGATATGTAGGCATAGGATGCGATATCCTAGCGAGCACACTAACGACTAACTTTTGTTCTCTCGCGGCTGTGCGATCGAGACTTTCCCGCTAACGTCTAATTGTTATCCCTTTCTCTTGCCCGAGCGCATTTGAGACCAGATCATAGTTGTAGGCTCCCGAGCCTTAGAGACCAGTTTGTTTTCTCACTGTTGTGTGAGAGCCCCTGTTTACCCGTAGTTAGCCGAACTACGTTTGCTCTGATCTTTCATTTCAGATGAAAGTACGTAGGCACAGGACGCGATGTCCTGGCGAGCAACCTTTCCCCCGTTTAGACGTAGGCAGCCGAACTACGTTGACTCTGACTTTCCCATTGCACGAGGGAATACGTAGGCCCAGA